TTATTTGACTGTTAGCTTTGTCCTTTCCTTTTGGGTTGATGTCAATATTGTGATCATCTAATGACTCATAAATGATGTTCAGTGCCATCTAGGGACAACAATAAGAATGAGCAGAACCTTCAAAAGAGAGAAGAAAAACTTGAGTTTTTTTTTTTTTAACTTGAGTTTTTAAATCTGGCATCAGTTTTGTCAAAACTTCCTCTCTCTCCTATTGTACTGAGGAAACAAATGACTAAATGATTCTGTCAAGGATATTGATATATAGAACAGGAGGTTAATTCTGAGCACACAGGAAGAGAACAATTCAGAAGACATTTGTTAAACATTTTGATTACTGTGGATAGACAAGAGAAAAGGTCAGCACTGAGCCACATGGTATATCAAAGTACAACTTAATGTGAAATAGAGACTCAGGAGGATCCTGAGTGTGAGGCCAGCCTCAGCTTCACAATGAGATGCTGCCCCCCAAACAAAAGGAAGGAAGAAGGGAGGGAGGGAGGGAGGGAGGAAAGGAGGGAGGGAGGGAGGAAGGGAGAAAGAGAGGGAAGGAAGGAAGGAGGGAGAGAGGGAGGGAGGGAAGGAAGGAAGGAGGAAGGGAAGGAAAGGGAGAGAAGGAGGGAAGGAAGGAAAAAAGGTGGAGAGAGAAAGTGAGGATTCATCACCTATGGTCAGATATTTGCAGAGAAGCTGAGGAGCCACTGAGTGAAGACCCAAGGGAGAGCTTCTCCCTGGCTGAACAGTCATCTTTGTTGACTTTTGCTTGGTTAGTATCCATGAACGAGGGTGAGACAACATAGAGGTTAAGAGCACTTGCTGCTCGTGCAGAGGACCTGCCTCAGTTCCCAGCACACACAAGCAGTCACGTCCACTGTAACTTTAGTCCCGGGGATCTGATGCCCTCTGCTGGTCTCCGTGGAGGCCAGAAGGCATATGGTGCACATAAACTCAGACACCAACACACCGATCATTTGTATATGTATTTAAAAACAAGGTGTGAGGTCCTGAGCATGCCTGGGTGTGAGCATGCATGTACACACACACAAAAGTGTAATTAAAAAAAGAGTTTCTTAAGGTCTAGAGAGCTAATTCAGTGGCAGAGTGCTTGCCTAGGGGCCTGGGCTAAACACACACACACACACACACACACACACACGCCAAACAAATAAATAAATGCAATTAAAGTTTAAGAAGAATTTTAACATGTATATTGTTTAGGAGGGAAAAAAATCACATCACATAAGCCTTTCTCAGGGTAAGAACTAAGATGTTCCAGCGCATTATGGGGCTTCATCTTGTTCTGCATGCTCACTCCTGTGCTACAGAAAAGCCTCATTGCCCTCCTGGAGTTGATTTCCTTCTATTTCTTTGAGAGTGATGACTACAGACTTTTGTAGAAGTCATTTCCTTCTGGGCAGTTTTCTGAGATTCCCCCTCCTCCTGTGAGCCAACATTATGCAGGCATTGTTGTGAAGGAGCTTACCCCAGTGTGATTAAAGCCTGTTGTGGTTGACCTTAAGATTATCCAGTTGAGTCTGATCTGATCAGGTGAGAAATCATATTTACTGAATGGAAAGGATTCTACATGCCAAAGAGCAGCCACAAGGAACAGAGACTGACCCTAGGAACTGTCATCAAAGAAACTGTGGCCACAGACTGCCAACAAGAGAACCTGAGTTCCACTAACATTCTGGATGACCTTAATGGAGGACTCTCCTCCTCTCCTCTCCTCTCCCCTCCCCTCCCCTCCCCTCTCACCTCCCCTCCCTTCTCCCCTCCCCTCCCCTCCCCTCCCCTCCTCTCCCCTCCCCTCTCCTCTCCCCTCCCCTCCCCTCCCCTCCCCTCTCCTCTTCTCTCCTGTCCTCCACTACTCTCCCATCCCCTCCCTTCCTCTTTCTCTCTCTTCATTTTTTCTTTCTCTTGAGGAAAGCTAGCTTCTCTTTTCTTTTCTTTTCCTTTCTCTTTCTTTTGTTCTTTCTTGCTCCGGAACACTGTTAACCTGTCATCTCATTTACAGAACTGTGAGATAACTGGGGTTGTTGTACACTCTTGATGTAGTTTGTTAGGCAGCCAAGGAAGATTAATAACCTGTTCTTGATTTCCTTCTTTATTACCCACAGAACCATCAGCGTAAATGAATTATTTCATTGAAAAAGGAAGTAATAACTGAAAACCCCGTTTGCTAAGTAAAGAAAAAGCTTGCTACTGTGTGATGAAAACTCCTCTGAAAATATAAATTCAGGGTTTTACTAGCCCAGTTTTGCTAAGCCAGGCAAGGTTGCAGTGTGACCAGGAACCAGGCACCAGGCGTCTGGTTGGGAAGAGCAGAACAGGGGTGGCTCTTCCTGTTTCTGCCTGCCCCTCCAGCTCTCTCTTCCGGCTCTCTGCAAGCCTGAGAGCAGAGCACAGTAGAAGTGCTGCTGGCACCTTCAGCAAGCCCATCAGTGAGGCCAGGCAGGGGTGAGCTCAGGCAAGGGTGAGCTCGGATAGTGCATGCTTAAGGTATCACTAGTGCAAGAAGTCTGGGCCTGGCCATCTGGAGCACCGTGTCTTCCAGCTGATCTCCCTGGACAGCAGAGTCTGCAGAGAAGAGCCCCACAGGCAACTGTCTCTGGAATCCCAGGGCTGGTTTGCCTGCCCTCTGTGGAGGACAGTTGTCTGCTTTCAGTGTCCTGTGGACTCCTCCCACTGTGTTGTAGGCTAGACTCCCATATTTTAGCAGTTTCTTCCCGTCCCTTGGTTTATTCTTTCTTTTTGGTGGAACACATTCTTGAATAACTTCTTGAGAAAAGTATATTGAAGACCTTATATGCCTGATGATATTTTATTCACTCTTCATAAATGACTAACATTTTGGTGTATGAAGGCTGACAGGCCCCTCCTTGCTATGAAGCAGGCTGGAGACTCAAGAACAGTCTTTGGTGATGCTCATGAAGCTTATGTCCCAACACTAAGGAGGCATTCTTCCCTCTTCCTCGTCGTTTTCTGTTCTGCTGTGGCCTTCATCTGGTTGGATGATGCCCACTCAAATCAGGGAGACAACCCGTGTTACCCCATTGCCATACTCAGATGTGGTTAATCTCGTCTAAACGCAGATAAATCCAGAATAATGTTTGACCCAACGGAGCAGCACCCGTACTCTCTCAGGCACATGTAACCACTGCAGCGAGAGATGGGGTTCTAGGAACTTTCTAGAGAAAATATTCCTTCTGAGTCAGGAGGCACTGCTGGCACAAAGTGAGCAGCCGCCCTAGTCCTTGGTCTGTGTGTATGTCTGTTGGTTTCATCCTTCAGAAGCACGGGTTCCCATGTCCTCATCTTGGCCTGCTGTTCCTCACCGAGTCCTGGTTTCCCTTTCAGCAGACACACTTTTTGTTGGGGTGTGTGCCTAGTGTCATGGAGGGGCACGGTCTCTCCTCCATTTGCTACCTAATCCTCCTCATTTTAACAGCACCATTTTACCTCTGGCTAATGGCACTTGGTGTAGCAACTTCTCTGCGTCATTAGCTTCACTGTTGCCCAGCATTCCAGGTTCTGCCTGGGGATTTGCCTCTACCAGATCTAGGATGATTGACACTGTCCATCCTTTCCATGTGTCACTGCTGACATTTTTCTTCTCCTTAGCCTCATGGATTTCATTGAGAGCGAGGAAAAAGGGATGGAGGAAAGGAGGGAAGGAGGGAGGGTGGGAAAGAGGAAGGGAAGGAGGAAGAAAGGAAGATTTTCTCACAGTTAAGAGGAACATGTAGATGCTTCAGTCCTGATTACATGAAATTCTAATGATCTATATTATTTTCTTCTCATTTGTTTTGTTACTGTGTGTTGCACATTTCCTCTTGCCAGAACATCAGTTCCACAGAAGTAGGGGTCGTCACAGTGCTGAGACTCTTGGGTCTGGTCCTCAGCTCGGGCATTGTAATTGTACTGGTTGATATTGATTACCAATCTGACAGGATCTAGGACCTCCTGGGACACCAAGCTCTGGGTACACTGTGAGGACCAGATCTGGTTACCTGAGGTGGGAAGACCCTGCTTAACTCTGCAGCACTGTCCCATGGCAGAGGGCACAGACTGAATGAAGGGAGAAAGCAAGCAGCAGTATCATTGCTTCCTTCCTGCCCCCTCCCTCCTGCCGCCATGCCATTTCCTCTGTGGTGGACTGTCCCCTCAGCTGTGAGCCAAAGCGAGCGCTTCATGCCTCAACCTGCTTCTGTCAGGCGTTTTGTCACAGCAGTGAGACAACTAAGACAATGACGATGACGCTCCTCCCAGTTCTGTCTGTTACCTCAGTGAAGAAGCCTTCGCAGCATCCACTGCTCTGTTCTTGCTTTTAGAGATCACACTTATCATGGAATGGGACATGCCTGGTGGAAGAGCAATAACCATCACTCATGCTTTTTGCCTACCTAGTCACTGGACATTTTTAGTTCTGTTTACAGGTCAGTCAGCCTGTATGGGCTCTCACTTGGGAACATTAGCAATACACGTTGAATGCTTAGGGGCTATGAGGGCCGGAACTACGTGCCAGAGAACATGAAGCATTCAAGAGACATAGTCATATGATGAATAACGCTGCTGTCTTTGGAACTTGACATATTATTTTATGGCAAACATTTTTATAGGTCGGAACATTCTTCTAAAGTAAGAAACCTTACAGCATAGGCCAGCGACATACTCGTCATCATCAGTGTCAGGTACTGGGTACTCTGTGTGGTTGTATGTGCTATGTTCTCTTGCTGATTTCTGATTTCTTTTATAGCGCTAAGCATTTATTAATCACAAATATGTACTTCCAGAGGCTCTACTTTTCTTAGAAACAAGGTAGAAATATATGTCTTAAACCTGGACTCTAACTTGGTCATTAATGAGGCTCAAGGCTGAAGTGGATGTGCAGCAAAAGCAAAAGAGGTGAATCTGGGCAGGCAGAGACAAAGTACTGTCTTTTTCTAATTAGCAGAGTGTGAGATTCCTTTACTGATAGAAACAGCTTCCTCAATGCTGCTTTAGGCCAACCCTTTTTGCTTTTGAAATTTATAGTATTTCTTATGCTTTACGAAAATGACGAAAGACACACAAATTCCTGACTCAGGCACCAGATAACCATCCAGTGTCAGTCTATGATAGAGCTCCTCACAGACCAGGCAATGAGGCTGGTCTGGTGTTAGCCACTAACCTTCACTGCACAATGACCAAAGCCTGGGCTGCTGTTTTCCCTCTGCGCATCCCTGAGAGTTCTCAGGTCAGAACTCTATGACTGCAGCAGCAGCAGCAGCAGCAGCAGCAGCAGCAGCAGCAGCAGCAGC